TTGTCGCGAGCGCGTATGTGGTACATGATAGTTATTTATTTATGATAATACTGCACCGATGAGAGAGAGAGAGAGAGAGAGAGAGAGAGAGAGAGATGTGTGTGTTTGTGTGTGTTACGAGAAGCGGCCAAGTCTCGGCCATTTCTCGCATATTTATGATTCAGTCGGAATCGGGTCTAGGATATTTCTAATATGCAGAGATCGATTCACGCAATGCTGTCGTTGCACCGGTTGCACTAGATCGCGTCTCGTCGGCCACCTTACAACATATGCTATGAAAATTACCCGACGTGTATCGCAATCGAAATTCCATCGGAAGTTAGTCATGTGTCGCGAGATTGTTTATCCATATTTAATTCGTGCCACTTGATCTAGGCTAGTGGTGTTCGAGTTCCTTCGCTCCGTACCCCTTTCGATACCTCGAGCTTCCCCCCCTCTTGATTCTTTCCCTGAGAAGAAAAATTGGCTGATTTAACTAATTAATGGCTGATCTATAATTATAGTTATTTCTGACTCTAACTATATTTCTTGTGATAAAATGGTAGAGTGATGATGGTAGCGTGCATATAAGGTTATTATCGCTAAATTATAGTAGAATTTAATAAAAAATAGTTTTCTTAACCATAAATCATACAAATTATTTCCCTATGTGATTATAGTTACCAAAACATTTTTTCTCAATGTTTGGAAAAATTTCACTGATACACTGAGAGAAAAAAATTGTTAATCTCATTATAATTATAGTCGTTTTTAACGCCAACTGTACGCCCATTGTCGTTTTAACGAAAAAATATAGTAAGAGCAGCATACATATAAGATTATTATCTCAATGACGCTACACACACAGAAAAATGCATACTGCATTCCAGTAAATGCTAGTTGTTTCACGCATCTCATAAGTTTATACATCCGTATATCTACTATAAGTTTATCATAAGTATTACATTTATACAAAATACATTTTTAATTCTAGTAAGTTCAGCATGTCAAAAATTCGATTTGCTTATCACATAAGAATCAAATCAATTTCTTGTTTAATAAAGTCTTATAATATTTTTGTAAAAAGAAGAAATTCTTCCTTTGAGTACGTGATAATGATCTTTTCTGTTGATTTCTTTTTTTTCTGAAAATTTGTGATAAGTCTTAAAATTAGCATAAAGAGAAAATATCTTCATTGAAGATAGTTATAATATTTCTGTAAGAAGGATCAATTCTTCTTTTGAATCTATGATAATGAGTTTTTCTCAAATTTATAGTGAGTTTTAAGACTATTATTAGGAAAATATTTTTTGTTGAAGGTAAGTACACATTATTTAAAAGAAGAAAAGTAAATTACGTAGTCGCTTGGCAGTAGAATGATGTTTTTCTGTACGTAACAGTTCACAGTATATAACAGTTACTAAAAAAAACTAATCGAATGTTTTTCTTCCAATTTTTTATCTTCCAGCTATATTCACAAGAGGTATCAGAATATCATTACATGGAACATTACACTTAGCTGTTCCGCATCTTTGCAGAGCACCAGGTCCCCCCTTTTGGACACTTCCACTCGCGCGAAGCATAACACGCGTCATCGTTTCGCGGTTTTACTTCGAAGCAAACGTTTCTCTTTCAGTTTTTCATCTTCCAGCCATACCCAAGCAAATTAGAATGTCACTAGATGAAGCGTTAGATTTATTTATTCTGTACCTTCGCAGAAAACCAAGTCTCCCTCTCCTGGACATTTCCATTCATGCAAAGCACAACGCTCCTTTCTACTCCTTAATCAAATATTTTTCTTTTAATTTTTTATTTTCTAGTCATACTCATAAGACGAATTAGAATATCATTACATAGAACATTACGTTCAATTGCTCTCTATCTTTGCAGAGCACCAAGTTTCCTCTCCTGAACATTTTCATTTGTGCGACACGTGCCTTCGTTTCGCGCTTCGTTTTGCTTCTACTCTGAATCGAACGTTTTCCTCTCAGTTTCTCATCTTCCACCAAAGATACTTGCCTCATCGGTAATGAAGCATGATTTATCATCGCGCGTGCATGCGCGTTATTGGGAAATGAAACGAAATTGTACAGTATTAAGAGGATGCTGAAGCTGAAAACCTTATCGACAGAATACTGACATTTTTCTGCAAAGTTTACGTCGTATTGGTTATACAGAATTACAAGTACTTTTACGCAATGAAAGTACGTGTAAAAATAAATAGGAGCATTACTCAATATAAAACGAAAACAAAACAGAATTTTAAATGTAAAATTTCAAACTGTCAATTAGCGTAACATTCATCCAATCCAAAAGTTCCGCGGCTTGCCGAAAGTGTGGATGCTCCAAATAGAAAAATTTTGAAGAACATTGCTGTACCTTTTCGCATCTGAATTCAAAAACTGAAGAATATCTGAAAAATTTGCAGGAAAATTTCTATGCACGTGTGGTTAGATTTCCCACTGAATATAGTAAAACAAAGCAACACATATTCACGTAAGTTTTGTATGTACAAGAAAAGGATAGCGTGATTGTGTTAGGGCCAGTTGTTCCAACTGTTTGATAAATTAACTGGTAGTTAAGGGGATGCTGAAGCTGAAAACTTTACCAACAGAACACTGACATTTTTCTGCAAAGTTTATATATTCTGTAAAGTTTATGTACACAGAATTACAAATGCTTTTATGCAATGAAAGTACGTGCAAAAATAAATAGGAGCATTGCTCGATATGTGACGAAAACGAACAAAAAATTTTTAATGTAAAATTTCAAGCTGTCAGTTAGCGTAATATTTGCCTAATCCAAAACTTCCGCAGTTTGTACGTAAAGTGTGGATGCTCCAAGCAGAAAAATTTCGAAGAACATTGTTCTACCTTCGCATATGCATTTGGAAACTTAAGAATATCGAAAAAGTTTGTAGAAAGATTTCTATACATATATGGTTAGGTTTTCCGTTAAATATGATAAAACAAAGCAACACACATTCATGTAAGTTCTGTATATACAAGAAATACAAGAAGGATAGCGTGATTATGTTAGTGACAATGATCTCTGCATTATCGTCGACATTATTCGTTATCGACTCCAGCATCCCTTTAAATCATATATGTCTTTGTTTCTCCTTCAATTTAGACAAAGACAGACATATGATTTAACTATCAGTCAATTTACTAAGAAGTTGAAACACAACCGACCCTAAAACTTGATCTACAATATGCTCTTTGCTTCCTGCTTCTTTCTCTTTATCTCTTTCTGTCTCAAACCTTAAGCTTTAAGCCAGAAAAAAACAGAAGACAAGAAACAGAACGCAAAGAGCATATTGTAGATCAGGCTTGAAGCTTGATCTACAATATGCTCTTTGCTTCCTGCTTCTTTCTCTTTATCTCTTTCTGTCTCAAACCTTAAGCTTTAAGCCAGAAAAAAACAGAAGACAAGAAACAGAACGCAAAGAGCATATTGTAGATCAGGCTTGAAGCTTGATCTACAATATGCTCTTTGCTTCCTGCTTCTTTCTCTTTATCTCTTTCTGTCTCAAACCTTAAGCTTTAAGCCAGAAAAAAACAGAAGACAAGAAACAGAACGCAAAGAGCATATTGTAGATCAGGTTTGAAGCTTGATCTACAATATGCTCTTTGCTTCCTGCTTCTTTCTCTTTATCTCTTTCTGTCTCAAACCTTAAGCTTTAAGCCAGAAAAAAACAGAAGACAAGAAACAGAACGCAAAGAGCATATTGTAGATCAGGTTTGAAGCTTGATCTACAATATGCTCTTTGCTTCCTGCTTCTTTCTCTTTATCTCTTTCTGTCTCAAACCTTAAGCTTTAAGCCAGAAAAAAACAGAAGACAAGAAACAGAACGCAAAGAGCATATTGTAGATCAGGTTTGAAGCTTGATCTACAATATGCTCTTTGCTTCCTGCTTCTTTCTCTTTATCTCTTTCTGTCTCAAACCTTAAGCTTTAAGCCAGAAAAAAACAGAAGACAAGAAACAGAACGCAAAGAGCATATTGTAGATCAGGTTTGAAGCTTGATCTACAATATGCTCTTTGCTTCCTGCTTCTTTCTCTTTATCTCTTTCTGTCTCAAACCTTAAGCTTTAAGCCAGAAAAAAACAGAAGACAAGAAACAGAACGCAAAGAGCATATTGTAGATCAGGTTTGAAGCTTGATCTACAATATGCTCTTTGCTTCCTGCTTCTTTCTCTTTATCTCTTCCTGTCTCAAACCTCAAACTTTAAGGCAGAGAAAGACAGAAGACAAGAAACAGAATGCAAAGAGTATATTGTAGATCAGACTTGAAGCTTGATCTACAATATGCTCTTTGCTTCCTGCTTTTTTCTCTTTCTGTCTCAAACCTCAAGCTTTAAGGCAGAGAAAGACAGAAGACAAGAAACAGAATGCAAAGAGCATATTGTAGATCAGGCTTGAAGCTTGATCTACAATATGCTCTTTGCTTCCTTCTCTTTATCTCTTCCTGTCTCAAACCTTAAGCTTTAAGCCAGAGAAACACAGAAAACAAGAAACAGAACGCAAAGGCCATATTGTAGATCAGGCTTTAGTAACGATCGTCTCTGCGTTATCGACATCGTTCGAGTTCGACCTCAGCATCCCCTTAAGTTCAGCGGCAGTTGGAGGCAATTTTGGTCGGCGGCTTTCGCCAGCGAGAGAAACATGCGCCTGGAAGACAGGTACCGGGCTCACGTAGTAAAGATAGTAAGGGTCCAGAGACGCGGAGAGTAGTCCTCTCCATCTGCTCGACGCGACGCGAGAGTACTCCTCCGAGTCGACTCCACGTAATTCATCCCCGCGGAGTCCTCGAGAGCCAAGTCGCTCTCTCGCTCTCTCGCTCGCTCCCTCGTTGGCTCGCTCGTTCGTTCTCCTCGCTCGCAGGGAACGCAGGTATTCGAGCGAGCGAGCCGGGGACGGCGGCGGGAGCGGGGTCGAGCAGCCAGGTAAGAAAGCAGGCGAGCGAGTCTTCGACGGAGGTGGGAGGTGAGCGTAAAGTGAGTTTTCGCTCACGGCGTTCGTTCGTTCGCTCGTTCGTTCGTTCGTTCGTTCGTTCGTTCGCTCGCTCGCTGCTGTACAGAGGCGAGTAGAAGCGAGTCGGCAGGAGTGGACGTCGTCAGTCGACTGCGCGGTTCCGTGGTGCTGCGGTGGTTACATCCTCGTTACTGCTGCTGCTGCTGCTGCTGTTGCCGTTGCAAGTGTGCTCTTTTACCTGTCGATCACGCGCCTCCGCGACGACGGGTCTCTCTCGACGGTCGCGTAACACAAACATCCGGTCGGTGGCTACGAAAATGGCCGCGTGCTGAGCGACAGGGAGAGTTCCACGACGAAGCGTGATCTCCTGTTGGCGACTGCTGAGAGTGTCCGGCCGAGCTCGCGCAGTGCTGGTCTCGCGAGGATTTATTCCCGACGATGACGTCGCCGTGCGGATTCCAGGGCTAGGAACCGCCCTGAGTAGAAGCTGTTGAGTGCGCGCGGTAACCCCCGAAGGAACGTCGAAGAGGAGCGAAGGCGAGCCAGGTAACTGGGGGTTAACTGGTTTGAGGGTTTCAGCCGAGCCGCCCCTCGGCTACCTGCACGGTCGACGGACTCGCGCGCGCTCGCTCGGTGTATCTTGAATAATCCTGGCGACGGTGCTGAATGAAAAGCGTGTGATACCATCGGCTGCCGTTGAGGTCGACGGCATCCATCGTCCCTGGTTTTACGTTCTCTCAGGAGGAATACATCGCATATTGACCGTCGAGACTCGTCATACCTGACGGAAGTGTACGCAATCACAGCGGAGTGTCAGCAGCGTTACGAAACGTTCGCGAATTCTCGCCTTTCGTTTCGGTGCAGTCCGCTTGTTACCTTTCTTTTCTTTTGCTTCTCAAGCGAATCGGACACTAAAATAAGCTCGAATCACTCGTCGACTTCGTTTCTCATAATATCCAAGTCTGAAAGTGGAAGATAATCCCTGAGGGTGGGATCATACCGTGAAATGAGAATACTGAGACCAATATTTAATATCTCTACATGCGTCAAATTAATAATATAACGCACTATTTCCTCTTATAATCGCAATTACTTGAGAAGTACGAAAGCATAGGTTTGTTTTTCTTTCCTTTCAAACGAATCAGAAAATAAATGTAAATAATTTGTCCGTTTTATTCTCCTTGTTTTAATTTGAAGATGAAAATCACTTCTTGAGGGAATCATCGATCCCGCGAGAATCAACACATGAAGATACTGAAGTCAGAATTTAGTATCTGTAGTTGCGTCAAAGAGTAGTTGTGGTTTAAAAATGGGAAACGCCTCTTGAGGGTGGAATCATATCGTGAAAATCGATGTGTGAACGTAATAACATCAAAACTTGATATCTGTTGTTGCATCAAATTGAAAACATAACGCGTCACTTTTTTAAAATCGTAAAAATTTGAATAGCATGAAGGCATAGGCGTGTTTTCCTCTCTTTCCAAATGAATCAGACACAAGATAAGTTTAAATAATTTGTCGGTTTCGATTTTAATATTTAAGTCTAAATGGAAGCCATCCCTAGAAGGTGGAATCATCCTGCAAAAGTCAACGCATGAGAATACTGAAATCAATATTTAATATCTACACTGTTAGAAAAATCCCTATTAAATTTAATAACTGGGATATGAAGTTTGTTTACATAACTATGTTATAAAAAATAATAGTAAAATTAATATTATATTTAATAACCCAAAGTTATGAAAAATCATAATCAGATTTTATTTTTTATAATGTTTTTATAATAATTTAGAAATGCTATTATGAAAAATAGACTTCTGGATAGCTCCGTTGAAATCTCGATAAAGGCCACGATGCTTTGCAAGCTGAATCTTTCAAGTTACGTGACCGAAATAGTCTCGTATTTATGATATATTAGAAAAATTATTCTAACATATCATAACGTGTTATAATATTTCATAATTTAATATGGAATTTAATAAGAAAACATGAAATATAAGATAGAAAATATTAGATTTCATAAGAAATATGAAAATTATAACTATAATTTATAACCAATAATCCTAATGTTACAAAAATCTTCACTATTATTAATTTTAATATCAAATTCTTAAATTTACTTACAAAAATGCTATTATTTTTAAGAACTTTTAAGTGTATAGTTGCTTCAAGTTATATAATATAACGAATTAAAGCGGCGTGTTGTTGAAGCCATGAGTACATAAATGGTCGCGGTAGTTTGCACCGTTCGCAGCTTCGTTGAAACCATTGGCGAGCACTCGATTGGCTTCGCAATAAATAATTGCTCAATATAATCAGACAATATACACTTTTGGAACAAAATGAAAAGATGAATCATTCACCTGTTAACAAAAGACGTTCGCCCATGGTAAAGAGAAAATAATAATTGAAAATGATCACAGACAAAAACTCGTCATTCCTGATGCGATATGTATGTAATGTAGCGGAGACAATGGGACAAAACGTTTATTAACACCGCTGGATTGATAATAGCTGACACGTCGCGTATTCTTCCCCCGTGAACAATAAACCGCTCGATTCGTGTCGCAATATCGGCGGGTTTGTTTATTTCAGGAGAAAACGAAGCCGCGCCGCCGACGCGCACGGGATTGTTAATGAGTCCGACGACGTTCGTTGGAATGCCAGCTCGCTTTCCATAATACATCGCTGGAGCGGCGTTCTCCATAAACGTCGTGTGGTGTTCCCCTCGCGCAACCGCCGCGACCGCCTCCTCCTTTCCCGTCGCACTCTGTGCATTGCCTCCTTCTCCTCTCGCGTTCGCGAGATAACATCGCGACTGCCGGTCCAGGTACGAGCCGCGAGGTGCAAACGAGCGCGATCGACAGAAACGCCCGACCGGCCAAGGCCGCTCGAAGAATGTCGTCGAATTATTCGATACCGAGCCTCACAATCGTCAATCGGCGTCGCGGAGTCTGCTGGAGTCTCTGTAGTTTTGTTCCTTTCTTCCTCTTCTTCGTATTATTTTTTCTAGAGGAACCGTCCCGCCGCTACTCGATTTGCATTTAATACACGAGAGATGCATCAGTAAACGATCGAATAGGACGTATCCTTGTGGAAATAGCCTTGCAGAAGCAGCTGCCCTGCCAGTCGGAAATATTTCCCGCGCGTGCTCGTGATAGTGCAGATAAGGTCCCGGCAATAATGTCGACTTGATGTGAAAAATTTGTTGGAAAGTTAATTTAAGAGAGATTGATTTCTCTTAGAAGAGATGAGTGATGAGTGGAAAACTTGTGGAGTTATTTGATGTCATCAGCGAGTTGTTTTAGTTTGCAATTGTGTGCAATGATTAATGATTGTAGGTAAACTAGCTCAAACTATCTAGCATTGCCCGAGCTTCTTGTGTATCTAGAACGTCTATACTTTCATTATCATTCTCTATTTACTTATATTAAGTTATCACAAAACGTTATCACAAAAATCAGGAAGAGAAGATAGTTGTGTAGCCTATATTAATTAATTATAGCCAAGTTTCATGTAGCCTATATTCTATAAAATTCTAGAGAGTATAACTACACAAAATTTGATCCAGATCGGTCAAAGAGTTTAGGAGAGTTTATAGGGAACATACAAACAGACAAACATTTTATTTTATATATGTACAGATGATTATATTCTATCTTACCAAAATATAATGAAAATACTTTAAGGGATTCTGTCCTCAATGAAGAAGGCAGATTTGACGAATGTATTAGCTGCGTTGATTCTCACTGTCCGACTAGAAATTTATCTTATGGTCCTGATCAAGTTGATGCTAATTGGTATTTAGTTTGTATAACGCAATGTGATCGAGTTCTGATTATTAATGAGGTCTTAAATATTAACAATCCTTATTGTTAGTAAAGCTTCTGATTACCACACTGCGCTGCATGACTTATGAGGATCCAATAACATCACCTTATACAAACTGGATAACTGATTGGAATCAACCTGATCAGAACCATGGGATCAATTTCTAGTCGGATATCTGTCTAAACGGCGGTAAAGTTTGTCAATCCTGCGTCAAAACATTTTTCAATATCTTCGGGATAATTGAGATATAAAGGTGACACACACACAGACACCGATAAATGAATATTTCAATATGAAAACAAGAATGTTTTGATCGAGAATCGATAGCCAGTATTGAGTATTAATCGATGAAACTGTTAGTTGGCTAAAATAATATCGATTATATACTGATTAATAATAAATTTTAGAATTGGCTAAAATAATATCGATTATATACTGATTAATAATAAATTTTATCAATCGATTGAAATTTCGTGACTACACACATGACGATTGTTTTATTTTGACAAAGATGACTGACTTGTCGATTATTTTACTCAAATGCTTTTGTCATCTAGAGGGGGAATGAGAAACCACGTTTATTAGGACATCCACACTTTATCATGAAATCTGAGACCTGTTCTTCAGGCTAAACTACCTGAACAGGTGCAAAATGGTGCGATAAGTTAGAACGAAACAGAATATATTTGTCTCACTCCGACTTATTGTGTCAGACACCAGCTTAGACAATTCAGCTAGAAAGAACAGGAACCTATAAATTCCACGCAAGAATCGTCACTGAAGTTGTCGAGTCTCGTCGATTATCCTGTTGTCCAACGCGTCGCGAATTTCTGATCGGTACACGACTCCGCGATTAAACAAGCCACAACACACATTTGGCTACACCTCTCAGAAAACCGTCATGAGAACCCGCGAGAAGTCTCAGGGTCAACGGGTCGGCTCGCGTCGCCATAACACGGACAATGGGCCGAAATCGTAGTTGTCTTTCGATTAGATTCGGAACGAGGGGACACCTGTCACTTCCGGCGTCGACTCGGCTCTCCTCTCCTCTCCTCTCCTCTTCGCTTCGCCCGTCTCGCCGGCGAGTTCTCGCGCGTTAAGCCCACGCTGGATGCGCCAGTGAGAACGGGAAGTCAACGAGATCAACGGCATCGCCATTCGCTGGAATTCCAGGTAGCTTTCCAGGACGTACCGAAGGAGAACCGTTCCACGTACGTTGCGGTCTTAATCTCCCACCTTTCCTTTTCGCTCTTACCGTTTCCCGCGCCGCTCGTTTACGCCGTCCGTGCACGCGGCTTGATGTATCAATGAGAACGATCAGCGTAGCTCCTTCCCGCGTAGCATTTGGAAGGCACTTTTGAAGCGGGCAGTGGCGGGTTGCTCTTCTTCCAGACCCTCGTCAACTGACTACTAAAGATTATCTTTTTATTCGTAACTCGAGATATATCTTCACTGTTTTTTTTTAATTTCGTATATTTTTTATTTGTACCTTTTTTCACGCCGCTATATACAATTTATTCTCACGCATATTTTTTTCCTATTACTATATTTACGTTATTTCCTTTTTTATCGTATTCTATAATATATTTTTATTCTTTCTTGTTTTGTTATAACAAAAAAATTATAAAAATTAAATAATAAATAAAATAACATGAAAAGCGTAGGAATTACAAAAAACATATATATATATATTCTTTCCTCTTATTAACTATATT